GTCGACACACACACACACACACACACACACACACACACACACACACACACACACACCCCTTATGGGGCCTTGTAACAAGCCCCAGCGAATGTCACACACACACACACATACACACCCTGTGGGGCCTTGTAACAAGCCCCAGTGAGTGTCACACACACACACACACACACACACACCCTAGTGGGGCCTTGTAACAACCCCCAGTGAATGTCACACACACACACACAGAGGTAGGTGCCCAGCCACACTCGCCCAGAGGGGTCTCCAAGCCATGGTGGATCAGGACTGGCTCTCTCTGTCCAGCAGGAGGCAGAGCTGCGCCCAGTCACAAGCGGAGGCAGAGTTCCCAGCCCAGTGGGGGCGCTTCTGCATGGAAGGGCTGGGTCCCCCCAGTGCTGCCATGAGGGGCAGAGCCCAGCCCTGCTTCGTGCCCCAACCCCAGCTCAGGCCATCAGGAGGGGCCCTTCCCCGTCGCGCCCACAGGCAGAGGCCTCACCTGCCGTGGAGAAGGCAATAAGCAGTGTGCCGCCAGTGTAGAGGGATCTGAAACACACAGACACAGGGCCATGCTGGGGGAGCAACCGAGGGTGGGGGTTGCTGTGGCTTCTGTCCCACGTGGGGGAGCTGCAGCTCCCATCGCAGCTCCAGGGGTGGGGGGAGCAAGGGAGGGGCTAGCTGAAGGCAGCGGTGAGGTAGACAGTGGGGGAGCTAGACACTTGGGGTGCAAGGGGGGTAGGGAGGGGGAGTGGAAGGAAGGAGGAGGACGGGGAGGGGTGATGGTGGGGAGGGATGCAGGGGAAGTCAGCGAGGGAGGGGAGGAGGAGAGGGGGCTGTGAAGGATGGGGGACAGAGGCAGGATTTAACCCCACTGTCAAGGTGGTGGAGGGCAGGAGACAGGGCTGGGAGGAGGGCCCAAGCCGACCAGGAGCTGCAGACCGGATACCGCAAACACTGGTTGCACCCCAGGGAATGCTGGGAGCAGTAAGAGCGGGTTGGGGGCGCACGGCAAGGCACGCTGGCGGAAGGGATGGAACAGATGACACGGCATGGCGGCTGGGGCAGAGCTGGGTTGGGGGCAGGGGGCTACTGGTTGGTGTTGGCAGCCAAGGCACAAATGGGCACAACATGGCCCTGGACACTGGGGCTCGGGCCAGCCAGCTTGTCTGCACTGGGAGACTGACCCCAGTACTGCACCGCTCTAAAGAGTGAAGAACCGGGTCCCCCAGGGAGTTACCCCGGTCTAAAGACAGCACCAGGATTAGAATGGTATAGCCTGACTGGTTTATACACCTGGGCAGACCTGCCCTCAGTTAGTGCCCTTCCTGGATGGGATAGATAGATGGATGGGGTGCATGTAGACAGATGGATGGATAGATGGAGTGTATGTAGATCGATCGATCAATGGAGGCTATATGGATGGATGGATGGATGGATGGATGGATGGATGGATGGATTGGGTGTATGTGGATGGATGGATGGATGGATGGATGGATGGATGGATGGATGGGGTGTATGTAGATCCGATCGATCAATCGATGGATGGATGGA